ATTGAACACTACTTTCTCCAGAATCTTGGCCATGAATGGAAGCAGGGATACTGGTCTGTAGTTTTCAAGTAGCGTATGGTCCAGGTTGGGTTTCTTTAGCAGTGGGGTTACCCTAGCCTGCTTAAATGTAGTGGGGAATAAACCAGAGTCAAGAGATGTGTTAATTATGTGAGTCAGTGTTGGTATGACTGCAGGAGAGATGGCTTGCAAGAGATGAGAGGGAATGGGATCGAGTGGACAGGTGGTTGCATGGCTAGATAGCACAAGTTTGGACACCTCAGACTCAGAGAGCTGAGAAAAGGAGGTGAGTGTGTGTGGTGTTGGTGTTGTATCTTGCGTGTTTGTTGTAGGTGCAGCAAATTGAGCACTGATTTTTGCAGTTTTGGTGCAGAAGAATGTAGCAAAGTCATCAGTAGTAAGTGTGGAGGATGCGGGTGGAGGAGGAGGATAGAGGAGGGAGGAAAATGTTTTAAAAAGTAGGCGAGGATTAGTGGCATTGTTGATTTTCAGACGGTAATACGTCTGCTTTGCAGAAGTAACCTCAGCTGAGAAAGAGGACAGAAGAGTTTGGTATGTTAAGAGATGTGCAGGATTTTTAGTTTTCCGCCAAATTCTCTCTGCAGCCCGAAGTTTTGAGCGATGCTTACGGAGAGCATCCGAGAGCCAGGGTGCAGGAGGACTGGCACGGGCTGGCCTGGATGCAAGAGGACATAATCGGTCTAGACATGATGCTAGTGTGGAGCAGAGTGTATTAGTGGCACTGTTCGAATCAAGTGCAGTGAGTTTGCGAGATGGAGGAAGAGAGTCTGAAACAATGGTGGATAGTCTATTGGGTGAGAGAGATCGTAGGTTTCTGCGAAAGGTAACCAGTGTTGGAGTGTGTGGCGGCTCAGGAGTAATGTGGATATTGAGAGACAGAAGGAAATGATCAGATATTTGTAGTGGAGTTACTATTGTTTGATCAGTGAAGCAGTGTCGTGTGTAAATAAGGTCTAGCTGATTACCTGATTTGTGGGTAGCAGAAGTAGGTGCTCTTTTTAGGTCAAAAGAGGCAAGCAGAGTCTGAAAGTCTGCAGCTTGCGGTTTGTCAACGTAAATGTTGAAGTCACCTAGCACCAATAAGGGAGTGGCAAAATTAGAAAAAGATGAGAGAAGAACATCCAGTTCATCTAGGAAGTGACCTAATTTACCTGGTGGGCGGTAGATGACAACCACATTTATGTAGAAGGGGTGGATAATGGTGACTGCATGGAATTCAAAGGAGCTGATTGTTGGCAGGGACGGTATCAGAGTAAATTTCCATTCTTTGGAAATTAGTAGTCCAGTCCCACCCCCTCTCCCTGTCTGACGAGGAGTGTGGGAAAAAGAGAAATTAGAACTGTCTTGGAATGCCATTGTTTTGTTCACATGCTTTTCCGAGTTGCTGTGGACAATGCCTTAATCGCAAACGCCTTAAAATTTGCATTTTAGAGTGCCTATTAGGGTTGCCAGGGACATTACTACGCTGCATGAACTTTGGCGCAAAGAGGTTGATGCGGCACTTTGTCACTTGGATAGAGAGACAAAGGAATGACTTGGAATGCCAATGTAGTGGAATGTCCTGGAATGCTGTTGATTTTAAGGTAATATGATTCGCAGGACTTTTCGTCAAATCCTTGTACAACGTCAAGTCATGACATTTGACAGATTCACGCTGAACGTCAAGCAATTACTTGACAGGAATGGGAGCATCTTGCCATCATTGCTTCAGACTCAGGAAATGTTCTTGGAACTGCACGCCTCCTGCCCTCCAGAAAAGCTGTAGCATTTTTTGCTCCCGGTAAGCATGAACCACATGGAAGTGGATAAAAACGCCGCCCAGTCATGTAAGCGCTCTCGTGTGCCAAAAGGTACCACCCTGCCCCGTGTGAGGCTCAAACTCACAACCTTCAAATTATGAGACTGACGCGCTGCATACTGCGCCAACGAGGCGGACTGTTGCCGTTGGGCAGGATGTGGAACAACAGCTTCCATGTCACAGTGCTGCAGTGTGCGTCCTGGGAGACAGCTCAGGCCAGGTAAGCATGTCAGGATGTCCGAGTGGTCTAAGGCGCTGCGTTCAGGTCGCAGTCTACCCTGGAGGTGTGGTTTCAGATGCCACTTTTGACAAACAAATCTTTTGGCTAAACGTTCAGGCTCAAGTCTTTAAATCTCTGGCGCCATATCCAAGCAAGTGGTGCACGCTGCAGAGCCATTTGGGGGAGCTTGAGCTCCTCCTTTTTTGCACTTCTTCTACGAGTGATGTCACTGGGGGTAGGGTTAGGGGTGGGGTTGGTGTGTGTACGCATTAAAACAGCTTACAGGAGGAGGTGTGAGAGCTCATGCTCCCCTTTGCTGGAGCTCAGCTCTGCTCAAATGGCTCTGCAGCGAGCACCCTCTCTATCCAAGTGACAAAGTGCCGCATCAACCTCTTTGCGCCAAAGTTCATGCAGCGTAGTAATGTCCCTGGCAACCCTAATAGGCACTCTAAAATGCAAATTTTAAGGCGTTTGCGATTAAGGCATTGTCCACAGCAACTCGGAAAAGCATGTGAACAAAACAATGGTCGAGGGTTTCAATGCAAGTGCACTGAAAGGAGATCAAAATAACTGTTTTGGAATGTCCTGGTATGCTGTTGATTTTAAGGCAATAGGATTTGCAGGACTTTTCGTCAAATCCTTGTATAACGTCAAGTCATGACATTTGACAGATCCACACCGAACGTTAAGCGATTACGTGTCAGGAATGGGAGCATCTTGCCATCATTGCTTCAGACTCAGGAAATGTTCTTGGAACCTTACGCTGCCTGCCCTCCAGAGAAGCTGTAGCATCTTTTGCTCCCGGGTAGTTTAAACCGCACGGAAAGGACTAAAAATCGCTGCCCAGTGATCTAAGCGCTCCGAAGTGCCAAAAGATACCACCCTGCCCTGTGTGAGGCTCGAACTCACGACCTTCAGATTATGAGACTGACGCGCTGCCTACTGCGCCAACGAGGCAGACTGCAGCAGCTTGGAAAACTGTGACACACGACGTTCCATTTCACTGTGCTGCGGTGTGGGTCCTAGGAGACAGCTCAGGCCATGCATGCATGTGAGGATGGCTGAGCGGTGTAAGGCGCTGTGTTCAGGTTGCAGTTTCCCCTGGAGGCTTGGTGTCAAATCCCCCTTCTGACAAACCAAATCTTTGGCTATACGTTTAGGCTCAAGTCTTTAACTCTCTGGCGCCATGTCCAAGTGATACAGTAACACTGACAAAGCGCCGCATCAACCTCTTTGCTCCAAAGTTCATGCAGCGTAGCAGTGTACCTGGGAAGCTTAATGGGCACTTTAGATTGCAAGTTGTATGGTGTTTGCGATTAAGGCATTGTCCACAGCAACTCGGGAAAACATGTGAACAAAACAATGGACGAGGGCTTTAAAGCAAATGCACCGAAAAGGGATCGAAAGAACTGTCGTGGAATGCCATGTAGTGGAATGTCCTGGGATGCTATTGATTTTAAGGCAACATGATTCGCAGGACTTTTCGTCAAATCCTTGTACAACGTCAAGTCATGACATTTGACAGATCCAGACCGAACGTCAAGCGATTACTTGTCAGGTATGGGAGCATCTTGCCATCATTGCTTCAGACTCAGGAAATGTTCTTGGAACTTCACGCCGCCTGCCCTCCAGAAAAGCTGTAGCATCTTTTGCTCCCAGGAAGCATGAACCGCATTGAAGGTAATAATAAATAACGCCCAGTCATCTAAGCGATCCCGTGTACCAAAAGTTACCACGCTGCCCCGCGTGAGGCTCAAACTCACAACCTTCAGATTATGAGACTGATGCGCTGCCTACTGTGCCAACAAGGCAGACTGCAGCAGCTTGGCAAGCTGTGACACACCAGCTTCCATTTCACTGTGCTGCGGCGTGGGTCCTAGGAGACAGCTCAGGCCATGCAAGCAAGTCAGGATGGCTAAGCGGTGTAAGGCGCTGCGTTCAAGCTGAGGAACAATCATCCAACAAAGAAGGGGAAGAAGGAAAGAATAGGGTGAAGGAAGAAGAGGGGGGGAAAAACGAAGGTAAGGTGCATTCTTAGCTTCCCAGACACGCCTTCCTTGACCTGCTTTACGTCATGCATTAGGGATACTGTTCTGTGTTAAAACTGCGCATTTTGAGTTACATTGATTTCTATTGCAGGTGCTCACCAACACGGGGGTTCGAATCCAGCTAAAGACGCTTTATTGTTATTTGTTTCTTATTACTCAATAAACTAACAATTTGAATGTATAATGCTCCAAGGTAAATAAAATATGCCTAAGCACTTTGTTATTGTGTTTTTAAATATTCTTTCATGAAATATAAAGCATACTAACTTAAATGTGTTTTTATTTAGTAGTTGTTGTAGCATTGTTATGCTTCTGGTTATTATTGTTCTGTATTTTGACGTACAAACGTATAGAAGTGTCATAGAGCTACAGTGTTTATGGAATTAAAAGTCAAGGAGAAGTCAGTTATTTATATATGCATTATTTATCTAACAATTGTCAACAGAACAGTATTAAATATATAGAGTAGAAAATATAAAAATAATAAATTAGTTATTAACAATACAATATTACCAATATAAATAAACAATATATGTAAAATGTTCAATACAAACAGAAACCAACGAAAAATGGACATAAAAATCAAGGACCAGTCATTTATAAATGAAATATTTATATAACATTGGTCAACAAAACAGTAATGAAGTTATATTATGAAGTTGAATAAGTTAAATTTTAACAGAATAAATACAAAATTAACAAATAAAATAAAATGCTACCCCCTACTGTACAAAAGGTGTGAAAAGAAGCAGGTCTCTAGCAACACCTTAACTTTTTTATTGCTTTTTGTTCTTTTCTCTCTTATGTTTAGAACTTTGAATGAACTTTGAGCACCCTGAACACTTGAAACACTGAAATTGTCATTTCTTTTGATTTTTAATAAAAAAAAAAGTACCATTGACAATTGCGGTGAAATCTTTGATGCCACTGGTGGAGTAGACGGGGGCTGGGACTGGGCCTTAAGTTGTCTCGTCTCCATCACATCTTGAGCAGGTACAGTAGGGGCAGACTATTGCACCAGAGGCAGTACTCTGCTAAAAATAATCACAAAAATACATATAATCATGGAGAAGGAAAGATATTGTAGTAAATATTAATAAACACATATTGATTCATAAATGTCCATTTTGAGTGTGAAAACCACATGTGCATTTCAGCACACCTCCTCTGCCCACGAGATTGCAATGGGCATTTCTCAATCTGAAAAAATCATGAAAAATATAATAAATAATTTTACACAATACAAAAAACTTTTATAACTAAACAAGAATTTTAACTTAATGACTCCCTTAATAAAGCACACAATAGCTTTGTAAATTAATTTAACACAGTTTTTAGAATGTGTGTAATATTTATCTAATATGTAATTGTACAGTTTGTATCTCCAAAAATGAAAAGAAAAAGATAGAGGTAAAGTTGGTTTTATATTCGCACATTCGTTCATTTAGCAGCCTCTATATTGTTTACCATATTACTTTGATTATTCGATCGGAATTAGCATGCAAGTATGATTTGAAAACAACATTAACACTATCTAATTCACTGTGAACCATGCTGTACTTTTATAATCACTAATCATTGTCTGCTAATATGATTTTCCTATTTAGAATTTGCAAAGAATATTTTTCTGAAATGATATTATTAAGGAGAATGTCTGAATATCCGAATATAAAACCAACTTTACCTCTAGAAGAAAAAGAATGAGGAACTGGACAGGAACATTTCAGGCCTTAAAACCACATGCTGTATTGTACACTCATAATCCATTCTCCCACCTTTTCAAATCTCTCTCATAAACGGTCAAACTTTAGTAAATTATTCAATGTAAATCTCAAAATACATGCAAATTTTAAACACATTATTGTTTAAAAACAAGTATGACATGTTTTACACAAATACTGTACTAAACGTACTGAAGCCTAACAAGTTAACGTTACTCTGTTAAGCAAATTTCAACAAACAATATATCATGTAAACGAAATACACACCCTTTGATAAATCTCATGCCACTTTTTTTGCAGAGGAGCTGGCCTGTTCCTGTTGCCCTCATTTGATGGCCAAACTCCTGTTCTGGCAAACTTTTTCAGACATGAAATCCAGCCAGCGTCTGACATGGCTTTATGGGATTTTCCAGACATTTTTTCTCCTAGAAATTAAACGGTTTTAGATTAAAGTATCCAAATTTGAAATACAACACACTAAAACATTAATACGAGCATTTATGTAGATTTTCTTACCTTTTTTTAAGAAATCACTATTGAAAAAAATCCTGTACTTTAAACAAAACGATACTGTGCTCTGTCGAATTATGCTGACTGTCGAAAATCACTGAAGGTCAATTAACTTTTTTGACCTCTGACCCGCCCCCAGAGGAGCGGGTCATTCTTTCGTGTACCTTCGGCTCAGTTCAGAAAATTGATTGACATCTGATTAACCTTTTTGACTGCACACCTAGCGGTGAATCTTTGAATGGTCCCTTCCCTGGCTTTAACATTGTCTCGACTGATTGGTCAAATGTTGAAATTGTTGAGAATTCCGGTCCGCGATTGGCTGCAAATGTTGAGACGCTGCAATGTGGTTGGTTACAATGTTGGAGAGAATCGCTCTGATTGGCTCTCATCTTCAACATTTGTGAAATATTGATGGACAATCCTTCGGCAGCTGGCATTGCTAATCCATTGTGCTCTGCACGCATGGGTTCGATTGCCATCCTCGTCGTTCAAATGCTCTGACATTTGAGAGAGCTTGGTGCTTCTGTGGAACTGGTTTTACTCTCTTAGCATTTTGAAGGATGTTGTTGCAAAATTTAATGTCATCTTTACCAAAAATAGCAGCAAATACATACAGAAATGCCATAGTCCAGCCCCCATCAGGAAAGTGAGTACATACATGATGAGATGGCCGAGACCATCGAATCCCATTCTTGTCGTTCATATGCTCTGTCTTTCATATGGCAAAACTGAAAGTCATCTTACCGACAATAGTTGCAGAATCATACATATACAAATATGTGTCAAAGCCCGGACTCCACCAGAGAAGGAAAAGTGTAGGAGTCCATCTATTAGCCCAATGACGAAACTAACAGCATGGTCGAAGGTTAATGCATGTAAGCCTTTTCTAGTGCTTCTGAAAAGAATTTTATTATTTATTATAATTTATTTTTATTAGTTTTTTAGCTCCGAATTCAATCTGACTCCAATTTAAATGATCCTAAAATTTAGATTATATTTCTAATTGTAAGAACGGATCACATTCATCATTTATGATTTAATTTAGAGTTTTGATATTTTCTGAGGTCCGATATTCTAAATTGTACGTTCATTAGGGACCAACATCGCTCAGAGTTCCACGCCCCGGGTTTGCGCTTCTTCTCACGGACAATATGTCGACACTCTGAAAATAGTCAGAGGATGCAGGATTAACTATATTTGAATAAGCTGGTCGCATTAACTCTTACCTAATCTTAAAAAAACAGATCCTTAGCCAAGCCCATACAACTTGCTACTTCCAGTGGTTGAATGACTAAAAGGTCTACATGTTTTCGGCACGCTATGGCTAACAATAATCAAATCCGCCTATTAATCAATTCAATTATGCCATACTATAAAGGTAATGAAGACTCCTCGTAATCTACTGGATACAATGAAATCGCAAAACTTTAGAATTAATCAAAACTTAACATTTTATTTGTCAGGTAGAATTGTATTTTGCCAATTACATAATAAATCATCAGGAAGCCAATTCAGAGATGAGATTGTACCAATACAACATCCATTAATCAAAGATAAATCAAAGAGTTAGAGATGCATACCTGACCAGAGAAATACATTGCAGCATAAGTCTCAATAAGTCTCAGAGATGCTGCAATGGGGTGTCTTTTTACAAGATCTCCCTCCGTCCTAAAGCACATCTTACCTTATATACTCAAGTCAAAACAAACAGCCATAAATTCAAGACAATAGAAGTGTCACAGAAACCCTGGCCTGGTGACTTTGAGGACTTAACCATCTATGAGGAGGGATAGCATCTTATCAAGATCTTATAGAAGTCAAAAACCAAATCAACATATACCAGTAAAATATTACTGTAAAATTAAGACCACTTTACCAATCACACAGAGACATTTAAAATGATACCAAACATGAATATAATGCTGCAAGATACACCATGTTAAAACCTTGAACATTTTATGTGAAATGTGCTCTGATCAGCAAGTCGCTTAAAGGTGAAAAAGGGGGGCTTGGGGTGAAAGTAAAGGATGCATTCCTGCATTCTTCCCTGCTGTAGTGTAGCTCTGTTTCTCCAGTCTGTGTTTTCATTGTCAGCTGTGATTTGAATAGAACAGTGGAACAGTTGGTTTCTTCATCACTTCTCTTGTCTAATGAAATTTCATAACAGTTCTCAGGGTCTGATTTTTTGGATCCTTACAGAATAGTGCGACAAATAGAGTTAATTGCTTGCCATTATTAGACTTACTGTCTTTTTTTAGTCTCTGTGTGCAAAAACGTCTTGCATCCTTTTCAGCGATGGCGCTGTGGCTTAGTTGGTCAAAGCGCCTGTCTAGTAAACAGGAGATCCTGGGTTTAAATCCCAGCAGTGCCTAATCTACAGGTGCCAGGGTTGCTTTTTGTTAAGAGTAACGAGTGTTTACGCAGCGGGATGTTTAGCAGTCGGTTTCTTAACAAAACTCAAATCCTTAAGAATGCTGCTCGTTCAAGAGGGCTTTGGACGTGGGCTTTATATAGCAGAGTTTGGTAATGCCTAACCAATTGGACTTTAATATTTCAAGTCCAGACATTCCCACATGCAGCGCTACCGTTGTTAGTTTTTTTTATTTTTTGGAATTAAACAATTGGCCCCTTTCACCATTGTTTGGCACTGTGGCTTAGTTGGTCAAAGCGCCTGTCTAGTAAACAGGAGATCCTGGGTTTGAATCCCAGCAGTGCCTTGTCCGCAGTTGGCTGTTCTTTCATGGGCCAGAGAGTACTAAAAAGTGCTTTCTGTCCAACAGTTCTAGAGGAAGCAGAGCACTTGGGCTCTGTGGCGCAATGGATAGCGCATTGGACTTCTAGGTTGTGAGCTGAGCCATTCAAAGGTTGTGGGTTAGAGTCCCACCAGAGTTGCAAGCTTTGCTCTTTTTCTTCACTGACTTAAGGTGTGGTGCGTTTCTAACATTTTAGGCATCTGTCCATCCCGTTTTGCTTCTTTCATTCATTGCGCAGTGCAGGCTCAGATACTAGGGGTACTCTACAATAAAGCCGATGACTTATTTGAGCTGTTTTAAATAAGGGAGATTAGAAAACACTGTAGGGCCTAGTGAGCTTGAGGAATGACTCAAAGGCAACCTGTGGTTTTGGGGAAAAATAACTGCCACCTATTGTTGAGATCAAGCCTTTTGGATTTGTTGTACAAGAGCCTCTTTAATGCATGTGCAAAGTAACTGAGTAGAAAGCATAGTAAATTATGCTTCCCCCCCACTGTCTTAGATGAAACTGCGTTTGGAAGTATCGTATCCAGAGGTTTTTTCTTTTAGTGTTAAGACTAAGTTGGCCAGAGCACCTGTCTTGGGAACAGCAGGTGCTAGGTTCAAATCCAAACTGCACCTTTCCCTCAGATTATGGGAGAGTGGCTTTCTGATCTGAAACTCTTTCAATGGCCGATAGCATATGTTTGTCCTGATTTCCATTTTCCGAGCTGACTCTGGGTTTGGATGTAATGAAACTGGAGGTTCCAAAAAACACTTAACACATGATTAAGGATAGATTAAATAAAAATAAATTCACACATTTTTTGCTTTGATCTTGAACAGAGGCCAGGTTACCGGTCAGGTTTGAGACATGATCATCCAGACTCTAAAAAACCACGTCCTTCTTGTCAGCATTTTCTACATCCTGAAATGCTTTTTTTTAGTTGTGTATTATTTTTTTCTTCTTCGATTTTTGTTATCAGGCAAATGTCTCTTGGGGTGAATTTTTGTGGCGCTGTGGCTTAGCTGCTCAAAGCGCCTGTCTTGTAAACAGGAGATCCTGGGTTCAAATCCCAGCAGTGCCTAATGTACAGTTGCTAAGGTTGCTTTTTGTTAAGAGTAACGAGTGTTTACGCAGCGGGATGTTTAGCAGTCGGTTTCTTAACAAAACTCAAATCCTTAAGAACGCTGCTCGTTCAAGAGGGCTTTGGACAATGGCTTTATAAAGCATAGTGTGGTAATGCCTAACCAATTGGACTTTAATATTTCAAGTCCAGACATTCACACATGCAGCGCTGCCGTTGTCAGGTTTTTTTTCTTTTTTCGAATTAATCAACTAGCCCCTGTCAAGGACGCTTGGCGCCATGGATTAGTTGGTCAAAGCACCTGTCAGTAAACAGGAGATCCTGGGTTCGAATCCCAGCAGTGCGTTGTCGGCAATTGGCTGTTCTTTCATGGGCCAGAGAGTACTAAAAAGTGCTTTCTGTGCAACAGTGCTAGAGGCAGCAGAGCACTCAGGCTCTGTGGTGCAATGGATAGCGCATTGGACTTCTAGGCTGTGAGCTGAACCATTCAAAGGTTGTGGGTTTGAGTCCCACCAGAGTCGCAAGCTTGCCTCTTTTTCTTCACTGACTTAAGGTGTGGTGTGTTTCTAACATTTTAGGCATCTGTCCATCCCGTTTTGCTTCTTTCTTTCATTGCGCAGTGCAGGCTCAGATACTAGGGGTACTCTACAATGAAGCTGATGACTTAATTGAGCTGTTTTAAATAAGGGAGATTAGAAAACGGTGTAGGGCCTAGTGGGCTTAAGGAATGACTCGAAGGCAACTTGTGGTTTTGGGGAAAAGTAACTGCCACCTATTGTTGAGATCAAGCCTTTTGGATTTGTCGTACAAGAGCCTCTTTATGCATGTGCAAAGTAACTGAGTAGAAAGCATAGTAAATTTTGCTTCCCTCCCACTGTCTTAGATGAAACTGCGTTTGGAAGTATCGTAGCAAGAGGTTTTTTCTTTTAGTGTTAAGACTAAGTTGGCCAGAGCACCTGTCTTGGGAACAGCAGGTGCTAGGTTCAAATCCAAACTGCACCTTTCCCTCAGATTATGGGAGAGTGGCTTTCTGATCTGAAACTCTTTCAATGTCCGATAGCATATGTTTGTCCTGATTTCCATTTTTCGAGCTGACTCTGGGTTTGGATGTAATGAAACTGGAGGTTCCAAAAAACACTTAACACATGATTAAGGATAGATTAAATAAAAATAAATTCACACATTTTTTGCTTTGATCTTGAACAGAGGCCAGGTTACCGGTCAGGTTTGAGACATGATCATCCAGACTCTAAAAGACCACGTCCGTCTTGTCAGCATTTTCTGCATCCTGACATGCTGGTTTTTGTTGTGTATTATTTTTTCTTCTTCGATTTTTGTTATCGGGCAAATGTCTCTTACTATGAATTTTTGTGGTGCTGTGGCTTAGCTGGTCAAAGCGCCTGTCTTGTAAATGGGAGATCATGGGCTCAAATCCCAGCTGTGCCTTAGTGCAGGAGGTGCGTGTGCTTGTTTTATAGAGCTTACCGGAATGAATTATAAAATTGTATAGCTTTGAGGCGTAATGAATAGTGCGACAAATAGAGTTAAACAATTTCTTTGCTTGCCATTTTTAGACTCGCTGTGTATTTTTAGTCTATGTGTGCAAAAACCTCTTGCCTTCTTTTCAGCTGTGGCTTAGTTGGTCAAAGCGTCTGTCTTGTTAACAGGAGATCCTGGGTTCAAATCCCAGCAGAGCCTAATGTACAGGTGGCTTTTGTTAAGAGTGCATGCAGCGCTACAGTTGTTAGTTATTTTTTCTTTTTTGATTAAAAAAATTAGCCCTTGTCAAGGTCGTTTGGCACTGTAGCTTAGTTGGTCAAAGTGCCTGTCTTGTAAACAGGAGACCCTGGAATCAAGTTCCAGCAAAAGTGCAAAAGTGACTATCAGCTATTGTTGAGATCAAGCCTTTTGGATTTGTTGTACAAGAGCCTCTTTATGCACACACATACACACACACACACACACACACACATACTTGTTTTTGTGCCCCATGGGGACTTGTGACTAGAAGGTTAACTATGGGTACAACAATTTCTAAATACAATTAAGCCATAATTTTAACTCATATGTGTCCAGGGGATTTTTTTATCATAAAAACAATCATTTTTTATCAAGAATTCTGAAGTTTAAAAAAATGAATTTTTGTCAGGTTTTTCTATTCTTGTGGGGACGTCGCTATTTTGTCTTACCACAAGGAACCACCAGGTGTCAATATGACATACCAGTATATTATCATATTTTTATAATAAGTCACTGTAAGACTACAAATTACATTTAGACAACTATTAAAGAGTTATTTATAAGGGAAAATTGTGTGCATTTATATTTTATTGAATTTTACTTTTATCTTGCGTTCTCTGTTTATTCTATGTTATATTACAATAGACCATTTCTAAGGGTGTAAACAGAAAAAAGCCTTAGCTTTTTTTAAATAAAATAAAATGTTTATCCTGCTCAGTTGTACACATATGTTGTTTTAATGTGCATTTAAATAATGTATGAGCATCTTGGCATTCTATCAAGCATTTTTTTTTATTAGATATTCTGAGATACGCATAAAAATTAACGGAGACATAGCCAAATTTACGAGAATGTAAAAACTCAATACAACTCGGAAGTGTTTTAGTGTTTTAAACATTTATTTAAATGTTAACATGAACGTTTTAGTATACTGCTCTTTAAGCAGATGCATGTTGAGTTTGCTTAAACAAGATTCGCATACATGTTGCCTTTAACAAAGACAAAACTGGTGAAGGCCCTTTTACATTTTTTTGCTTTAACGAAATCAAACTTGTTGCTTTCAACAATCATGAAAAAAAAACAGTGGTGAAGGCCCTTTCACCTACCTTTCACATTTTTTTAAGTAATAAATTTTCTTTCTTCCGGCAAACACGAAAAAAATAATTAGATGAAGGTCCTTACCTTTCACAATTTTTTCTTTAGGGAATCAATGCGATTTTTTACATAAAATTTCACCCCCTCCCAACTTCTATTTTGAAGTGCTGCTGGGGAACTTTCGATACAGTTCATGCACTGGGCTTTACCAGGAACCTTTCCAGACATTATGAATTCCATCATTGTCTTCTCCACGGCCTTGATCTCCTCCAAAGACCACCTTCTTCGCTCGTTTTGTGAAGATCCTGAATAAAATTTAAAACATAATTAGTGAAAAAAAGACTTAAAGACCAAATAAAACTAATTCATGGTCTTCAGTGTGTCTCATTGTTTTTAAAGTTGTATACACATTTTTGCTAAAATTTAGTTGATGGCTGACAATCTGTCATGTTTACATCACCCAGCAATAAAAGGAAAAAAATGCTTGCAATTAGTCACCATGTAAGTTTAACTATTCTCGTAAATTACAGCAAGATGTCTAAAATTTTTAGTTAATAGTTATTTGTGAGCTTCTGCATGCAGGCCACTTTTCATATGCTAACGAATATGTTATGCTATCAAAAATCAGATAATATCAGAAACTGATTTTTATTTGTTTACATTCAAATCAGTTAAGCAGCTGCAAAGAAAACCACATTTACATACGATTCTAAGGTTTGACAAATCAAAAGCAGTAGCTAAAAAATGACTAATTATGACTTTTTTACTGTACTGTACCTGCAAATGCAGCACTTTTTTGTGATTCTGCATCAACTTTGTGAGTCAACAACATGATTTAAGGCTTTAATTAAACAGTATATGTAATATTACTGCTGCCCCTATATAAAAGTGCCCGCAGTATGAAGCAGGCAGTATTGATTGAATTCATGGATAATGACTAGAAGGAAATCCGTTTGTGACGTCTACCTTGCATGTACATGAATAAACTTTAGAAGAAAAACAGAAAGGGCAACTTATTTCAGAAGACATTTTAAAAAACAGCTTACTCTTTGTTCTGTGCGGTTCCTGCAAGTCCTTGCTAGTCGGCTGCAGTTTTTTAGGATTCTTGCCTCCTACAAACATATGAGTACAACTTAGAACATTATTCAGTAATGGCACAGAATACCTACTAAGTAAATTACCAGTAAATGTGTCACACATGTATTTAAGAAAATATTAGCAGTCGAAACAAAACATATTTTCACTTCATCCTCAGGATATAAAAATATATAATATAGAACATATAGAATAGAAAAATAATAAAAGCAAGTAAAGGGCAAATCATAAAAGCAGTGCACAGAATGAATTTTATTCACAATTATAACAACATCAGAAGTTTTTAAAGCATCTTTTTTATTTAAATCTCATTACCTTTGGATGGTTCTTGGTGTTGTCCAACCTCAGCAGACTTCTTTGATTTCTCTGAAAAACAATACTTCTCTTTTAGCACAAGATTTTTCAATAATAACTCCTAAATACCAATATCAGACCGTTGTCACAGCCACCTCCCCAACCTGAATCCCAGTACACCTGACCACAGTTCCCTAATAACTGATTAATTACACCCCTCATCAGTTTCCTTTATAAGCAATTACTCTGCACTTACCCATTGCTACTTACCTGTTATTGTCAACACATTTGTTCATTTCGCTAACCAATCCTTCAAAGCTTTCAGTATGGCCACAGAAGCACTCTCGACCTCCAAACATTTATTCTGTTTCCACCCAGGTTCATCCACCATTGGCAATTTCACTCACCAGACTTTGACAGTAGCTAGTGGGTGGAACGAGACCGTGCTCATTAGAACCTATCAACAAAGCTTGAACCCAAACATTCGTTCTGCTATTATGATGTACAACACCTTTGAGTAATGGTGTCTGCCTATTGCCTATTCTAATCACTATCTGCTTGCCATATCTCCAACGCCACTCGCAAGCTTGCCTCCTATGCTGCCTGTACTCCGGTACCAGATCTCTTGCAAGTGTACCTTACCCACGTCTCAAGCACAGAAGCTGAATGCCACCTACCTGCTGAAGTATGTTTATTCTGCGCTGCCCCTGGACATTTATTCATAGACTGCCTCATCAAGCCCCACGTCCAGTGTTGAATCCTGATACCCAAATCATGTCAGTGGTCGCATCAGAGTATTCTGCATTACAGGATGTCTTTAGTAAATGGGCAACCCCTTATCTTCCATCTCATCAGACATGGGACTGCACTATCCAGCTGCTGCCTAGAGCACAAGGCTATGGAGGAGTGTGTGGAGGACTTAATCATCAATCTCACTGCCTGCTTCCAGGTTCTTCTTTGTGGGCAAAACTCGTGCTGCTGCGTTCTGAAGCAGCTGAAGAGCATTAAATACCACACACTGAACTCCCAGGTAGTCCAGTTGCCTTACTTACCGACTGGAAGATGTAAAAGACAGCTTTCGTCAACCCTTTTGGTACTGCAAGTACCAGGTCATGCTGTATGTACTCTCCATCTTCCCAGCCATCTTTCATTATGCAAGGTGTTTTGTGAGTTCCTCCATTGTTTTGTTATTGTCTATATTGAAGACATCCTGATTAACTCTCTTAACTTGGCCAAATAGTGCCAGCACATCACAGCGGTCCTATAACATCTTTGCCTACAAACCCTTCTGTGCACAGATGACAACCTACTGGGACACCCAGGCAGTAGAAGACCCTCTGGCTCCTGCAATCTTGGTATTGGTGGCACAGTGGATGCCAGTGGGCAAAGATGTCATCAGCTCCATCCGTCCCCAACATCACATAAGGGTATCAGGAGCCTCCTCTGGAGAAGACTGTAATCTCAGGCAGTCACCACAGCCACCTTCCCCACCTGAATCCTAATCAATCCGATCAAAATCCCCTGCTTACACTTTTATCGCACCTCTGCGCTCCCTCATCAGTTCCTTTTATTAACAGTCACTCTGCTCTTACCCAGAGTTTGATCTACGGTTCACACCAATGAACTTACCTGACTCACCCATTGCTACTTACCTGTTCACTGTCATTGGTTCTTTGTGTCCTGGTGCCTTTGTCTTCTGGTCTCATTGTTTTCTTTGTTCTCCTAGATTAATACCACTACCTGCACACAAAGACTCTAAAATAAGCAACAGGCCGATAATGATTACCTGCTCCACTCAGTGCGATGTTCAGACCTAACTTTGTTAACCGCATCAGCTAAACTCTCCCACTCTATTTTTTTCTTTTGTTATTAATTCTGGAGGACAAACTTGCAAATAAAACAGTTTTTCTCCGGTCTACCTCCGAAAACAGCACCTCACATTCACATTCTGTTCAAAGTTCCTCTTTTTGCTTCATTTTGCCGTTGCTTTTTCGTTGGGTTTTGCCAAAGTAGAGTCATTAGCATATTCATACAAGGGAGGAGGCAGGGAGGGGTTTTGTGCTCGTGCATGTTGCGCTCAGTTTCACGTTCATTCAGATGTACAAACAGAATATGCGCGAGATTTGGCGTACGCAGTGTTTCATACATCTGAATTTTTTTTCTGTGTTTTAGTATGATTTCCACGCAAGTCTTCGTACATGAGGCCCCTGGTCTTTTGATTTATCCTGTCTCCAGTCTCACTGTGTGCATGACTACAGCAATGACACCCAGTTTTTTTTCCCAAGTAATGTGTACCATTTTCCACCTTTCCCATCATTTCCCTTCAGTTGAAGAACATTGAGAATTTAATAAGATCATTACTAATGAGAATGTTTAAATTAATAATTTTAATTGTTTTCCAGAAATTAAAAGATTAAACAGTCACTTATTGTGCTGTGTGCTTTAAGAATATGTTGTCCTTAATGTTTTTTTTTCGGGACTAAAAGCAAGCTGAAAAGAAAAGTGAATGATGTGTGTAAACAGCAGAAGTGATTTCCTCCATGTTTAGGCGAACACACTTTCACTTTCATGCAATGAAGATAATGCACAGAGGAAAGATGACTGTGGAGCTGCATTTTTCACTGGTGTCTAAACACAAAGAGCTGTATGATAAACACAACAGCAACAACAATGTCAGCAAGAGGACATTATTATGGAGAGTAGCAAACATGATTTAATACTAAGTTTCATTTCACTTTTCTTCCATGACATGTACAAGCCTTAACACTGACAATACATGACAATAAACCATACATTTGCTTTTATTTTACTATGTTTGTGGTCATTATTCCTTGCTAAGCACAAAACAAATAACACACATTACACATACAGTACCTGCTGAATTTGAAGGTGAGGCACCATTTCCAGTTGACTCAATCTCATTTTCAGACTCGGATCCATCACTGTCCAGCAAAAGTTTCTCTATAACAGACAAAATTATTAGGCAACAACTTTTGAATAACATTCAACAATTGTCTATAACTAATGCTGGTGTTCCCGGTAATAACCCGGGAATGCTTTACCTTGGGGATCAATCTGGATTTCATCCAAATTCTGTCCTTTAAACTGTGAAAGCTGTCCTCGTTCCATGGCCATCAAGACTTTGCTAATTTTTGCTAGCTGCAATGTGCCTTCAGGAAGTCTGTAATATTGCCTGTGGACCCTGATGTCATGCCCTAAAAAATCTGCGAGGTTATCCATTTCATTCTCTTTTAAGTTTAGCACCTTGGACATAGTGGCCATGTGCTTTCGCAATTTGGTGGAGGACAATGCCTCGGGGTGCTTTGCTCCACAGCTTTTTGCTATGTTACGAATGACATCAGATCCTTTGAAGAAAGTGAGAGCTTGGGGTCTTCCGAACATAAAGACGTTCTCATCTGTCACATCACAGCTGCGGCGAGTCTTTACCAACAACTCCATTGAGACGACCATATTAGGAGTGAGTAAAATGGGGACTTTTCTGCCACGTTTTCCTCGGACTTCGATTCTTTGAAAATGACTACAAAGTGACTTCTCTAGATCGGACAGAGCAAGCTCAACATCCGGATGAGTTGAGGATGTGTCCCTTAATGTAAACGAATTAAGTGACATCTTAGACACCTCTCCTTCCCTTCTTCGATTAAATAGTATCACCTGACAAAGCGTGACTTTGGCAAGTTCTGCCCAGTGCTTCATACTTTGTTCTTCCTCAAGTCTTGCTTGATATGCCTTACTTTGGCAGTCAAGATACTGATGCATTTTCTTCACATCTTCCGCAAACGGAAGAAGCTGTGGACAGTTCCATTTAACTTCACTCAAATTACGAAGGGCCTGGGATGACACACACTCACTCCATTTAGTGTCACATATTTGCTTGAAGGCTTGCACGTTGCTAAGACTATTCTTATCATCTGCCATCATGGCATCACACTCAATAATGCTGGCCATCTTCTTGAGGTTGTGCCCTAACTTCAGTGCTAAAGATGGTGTTTTAAATGTGCTTGTCTCTTCGTTCAAGCCAGCTACACTGTGAACTGCTTGAATAACATAAGGGAAATTAGCTGGAATAAAGAAATCAGACACCTCCTTCAGCTTACCATTTTTTTTTCCTTCGAGGACAAGACGTCCAGTTTCACGCATTTTTTGCCTGATGTATTCATGCTTCGTAACATCATGGCCATGCTTATTGAAGAGATGTTGCCCTAATTTCAGTATGATTTTCTCTTTGCGGACAACATGGGTTATCTCATCGTCATGCATATCAAGCACCATTTTCCAAAACCTTTCACTTATACTGTCTGGAACAGGTTCAGCATATGAGCAAAGTGACTGAACACGAGTTTTCCCTGGCTTCATTTTGTTAATTTTCTGGCTCAGCTGGCATCTTTGCATATGCCGCCATAGCGATTTTCTCTTCAGATACGCTGAACAGTTAATGCAGTGCAAATAATCACTTGCATTTACTGGTGCAGTGGATTGTTGTTTAGGAATCACCGTTCCTCTTCCTTCACTGAGTACCTGAGCGTTATGACATCGGTTCCCCTTATTCCTTAACAAACTCAGCTGTATTTTTCGCTCTTTAGAGCCTTTCGGAAAAGCAATCGCTCTTGCCACCTCTGGCTTATCTTTATGTTTAGACTCTAGGTGACGTGCGATTTTACTGAATGGTTTGAAGCAGAATAGGCAGTAAAACTTTTTGTTATATAGTCTGGCTCCATCTTTTTTTTTTTTGAGCATCATGACATTCACATTAAGATTATTGGGTGAATGTGATTCTTCATGTTCTCCTGATGAAGAAGATTGAAGTGAAGTGTCCTGTTTGTCAGATACAGAGGATTGTGAAGGAGACGCACGTCTTTTTTTACATGCTGGAACATTTGAAGTTGACTTTACCTTTTTCTTATTATTACTTATCTTTTTTACTAAACTCTCTACTTTTTCTGAAGTGTTACTGTCAGACTCTTCAGTATCTGGCACGTAATCATCCTCACTGATATCTGATCTTGATGAAGATTCTTCTGAAGCATAACCAGGTATTTCCTTGTTAAGCTACAAATAAAAGCCACAAGTTAGAAATCAGAAGTGACAAGACCAACGACATCTAAAAATTATGTGTATATCTGCAGCCACTGAATCGCTGGTAGTCATGACAGGCTACCAGTTTGTAACATTTTAAAAATTTATATCTTATTTTGTGCTAAAAAGAAAAAACTGTTTTTTCAACCTTTTGAGGCTAAGTAAATAGAAAACAAATACAATTTTTGGGGTAAACTATAACTGTGGCCCACTGTCTAAACTGCATACTAAACACAGTGCTGAAATCTGGCACAGGTGCTCTAGTGCATGCTAACACACTACCAAATTTGGGGGCCAATTGCTGACTAGAGAGCACTGCAAACTGAAAATAACAAGTTTTGATGTCATGGTGAAAACACAAATCATACTTAACATAAGACTCACCAATCAAATTGAATCATTTAACACAACTAACCTTTGTTTTACACTTTGAAATCAAAAAAGAATTTTTCTCGCGTTCCTCATTAAAGTTTTTGTATACGCCTTCATATAAAAAATATTTAAATGCGTGTATGTGTGTGTGAGAGATCGACGAACGAGTGCTCACTTCACTGCTCTGCAGATGCTGTGAACGGCTGGGTATTTATTTTGGAGATAATATAAAATATGTTACGTACATACGTTGCTGCTGTTACGTACAAATTACGTATCAACTCAACACAATAATATCATATTACATCTAGACAAAATAGCCTAAGCTATATTAAAATAATTTAAAGAAATATTGTATATAATAAAAACATTAAATAAATAAACCAATATAAAATAAAAGCTATATCAATTTAGGTATGTATAATACAAATAAATTAAACGGTTTCAAGCCATTTTTAACTTTCATTTTACAAAGGCCTATCTGGAAAAAAAAGATATTTTCTAAAAACAATAAACAATGGAGGAGTTTTGAAATATTATTTATAAAGTATTTGGAGATGATGATATTAATCAAATCGTGCAAACAGAGCATTTTTGGGTGAGCGAAAGCAAAACTACCTTCTTGTTTTATATTATGGCTGGTGCGCTCGGTCATCCCTCTGTTAGTGGCGAGACCACTCGATGCACGATGCCAGCAGTCGGCCAGCGAGTAAACTAATATAATGAATAAATATACATAGGCCTATGCGTATACATCATTTAATGCATTTAATAGGTTTGCATTCTGCACTGCGAGTCATTGGCCTGACAGTGAAAACGCGACATAATTTCAGCCTCACTGCTCAAGCTCTCGGACTATTGGCTCAGCCCGGCCCGATAAAAGCCCTGGCTCGCACTAGCCCAACAGTGGAAATGTATGGAGCTAGATTTGTTTCTTTATTATTCAATCAAAAATATTTAGTTTTAAAGTAAAATTAAGTATGTTGTAATTAAAGAATTAAAGATTTCAAATAAAAAACACTTTTATTTAAAAAACTTATGTCAATGATAATCCTGCAGATCTTCCTGTTTGACTGTAATTGTTTCTTCAATCTTCACATCTTCACTCTCCTCTTTAATTAACGCCATCTTTATAACAGTGTGGAGATCAGTCGCTTCAGCAGGAGTTTCTCTCTGTGTTTAGACACTTTATTCTGTTTAAAATGAACAAAACAATAAAAATGTCCTGTTTAAAATAAATAAAACAATGAACAGAAACAAAATGACTTCTCTTCAACACTTGCTTCAGCTGTTTCTTTATATGAGAGTCATTAACAAAAAGAAATAAGGAAAGTCTGAGCAAGAAACAATAGACACAAATGAGCTGTTTAAAACTAGTACTCCATTTCTTATATAGTGAAGTACACTAAGAATGAAATGACATTATCCTATTTAATAAATTAAACCTACATTAAAACACTTATTAGACACATTTCTGTTAACTTATTCAAACAATAGCCCTCATTACTGTGAGTAAAATAGTTCTACGTTTTATAAAGGGTTAATATTTTCAATAGCAGCTTCATAATTTAGCATTGGATGAAACTTTAATCAATTAGTTTATGTTTGTCTAAAAGTTTTAAACACAAACCTTTCTCCAGCTGAATCCCAGCGCAGGAGCGGCGCAGGCTTATGACGTCACACAGCACGGCAAAATAAAAGTCTTTTTTTTGTTTAGCTTTGCCACTCAATGTTGCAGTCATGTACATTTCTCCCTCGTTTTCCACTTTCCACTCTCTCTCTCTCGCTCTCTCTCTCTCTCTCTCTCACACAGACACACGCACAGATAAACAGTGTTTAAATTTGATCAAAACTTTTGATCTAAAGATTTCTAGAACAATTTTGAAAAACTTTTTTAATCTACTTTATGATGACTTGCAGGTCTAAAGCACATTACTATTAATATCTAAATCTCTTCCTCGTAATTATGAAATCAACTTTCCTTTTTGTACAACTTCATAGGCTATATCTAGGGTTTTAGTGCAGTCTAGGCACAATTGAAAAATATGATTAATATAATATTTGTTAAATAAAATTAATCTATAATGTATTGCCCACATTTTTAATTAGTCTTAGTGGATTAAAAACGTTTTTTTTTTATTGTTTTACAAATGTTTAGAGTAAAGGTTTTGATCAACTCCAAATTCTGAACATATGTGTATCTGTGTAGAAATGTAACAACAAGTCATGACTGCACGTAAGTGACAATAAAAAGCTAAACAAAAAGACTTTTATTTTGGTGTGGCGTGTGACGTCATTAGGCTGCGCCGCTCTGTGATTCTACTGGAAAGAGGTTTGTTTTAAAGCTTTTACAAGAATATAAAGCGATTGATTAAAGTTTCAGGTTTTTACCTGATACTAAATTATGTACCTGCTATTAACAATATTATTTTTACTCTTTATACAACGTAGTACTATTTTACTCATAGTAATAAGGGCTATTGTTTGAATAGCAACAGAAAAGTCTGTACGTGTTTTAATGTAGGTTTAATTTATTAAATAGCATAATGTCATTTCATTCTAAGTATACATCACTATATATAAGAAATAGAGTACTAATTTTGTTCAGGTCATTTGTGGTATTTTGTTTCTTGCTCAGACTTTTACCTGATTTCTGCTTGTTAATGACTCATATAAAGAAACTGTTGAAGCAAGTGTTGAAGAGAAGTTATTTTGTTTCTGTTCATTGTTTTATTCATTTTGTACAAGACATTTTTTAATGTTTTGTTCATTTTAAAACAGGATGAAGTGTCCAAACACAGAGAAAAACTCCTGCTGAAGTGACTGATCTCCACACTGTTATAAAGATGGTTTTTATTAAAGAGGAGAGTGAAGATGTGAAGATTGAAGAAACATTCACAGTCAAACAGGAAGATCTGCAGGAACAAACAGGTTGGTTTTCATTCTCAAAGACCAACTCAGTCATTTGATCCTCATTCGGATATATTTTAATAATAAGAATACTAAATATAATCCATCTTGCAGCCCTGAGTGTGCTGCCTAGTTCTCCTAAATGCACATAAGCACTCACTGAAAGACAGAAATGAGTTTCTTTCTTGTTCTTATCTCTTTTGTCATTCTTTTATGTATTATTAGTCTCTTATTTTATCTACCTTCTTAAGGTTATTGCTTTTCTTGTTCTCTTACTGTTTGTAAAGCTTCCTTGAGCACTGGCGCTATATAAAATAAATAAAAACATTAAATTTAAAAAAAAAGTTTAACTGAATTGACAATATTTGACCTACAGTATTCTCATAGAAGATATCTGCTGTTACAGTGATAGTGTTGGCTTAGTACTTTCCATTTGCATATGTCACGCTGATCACAATTCCCTTTTTTTCATCAACTTCTTTATGAGTTTAAACTTTTTATAGTAGTTGTTGCTAGTTCTCACATATATTATTTGCACTGTTAGACATTTCAAAGGGTTTTTACAGTAACTTACTGGCAACACTGTTGCCAGTAAGTTACTGTATTTTAGATTTACTGTATACAACTGTAAATCCGTTTACAGCATGTTACCGTAGTGTCTGAAAATGGTTAACTACTGTAAAAACCTAAGTTAACAGTTAGCTACTGTAAACCTTTTAATTTTGTCCTAAATATTTTATATAATTTTATTAATATAATTTTATTACTATAGACCTAAAAAAGACACACTTACAAAATATTAACAAAATAAACACTCTTTATTTAAAACATTGGAGATGCTTAACCCAAGCTTAAAAATGTGTAAAAACATTACATTTCAATCATTCAAAATATTTTATTTTAAGAAAAAAAACATTGAAAATGACAAAGCACATTAACATACATGTACAAAACTAATTTAAGTGTCTGACCTGCATATTGTTGAGAAAAAAAAAACAATTGTACTAAGTACTACTGACATTAAACCAGACACAATTACAAAATATTCCATTCTTTAAAACATTAATAATGCTTAAAGCATTTAAGGAAAATGTGTGAAAATTACATTAAGCAATAAAATCAACACATTAAAAATAAATAAATCACACAAAGCACTAGAACATACATGTACAATAAAAATTTAAACTTCTGAATTGCATATTGTTGGAAAAATAAATATTTGTAACTATTAGCCGACTCAGAAACAACACAACTTTAAAATATTACTAATTCTGGTGTCAAATGCTCAACAAGGTCTGAATTCACACTGTAAAAAATTGCTGTTAAAAAACGGTCAGATTCTACGGTAAAATAATGTTTTTTCACTAAAACAGTAATATTCTGTTAAAAACAGTGCTTTCTGGGTAACATTTTGTTTTCGAGAAAGTAACCAACTGCAGAAAACTGTGAGCTAACAGAGTTCAGATTCGATGTTTTGAAGTCTGTGTTTGAAATCACACTTTGTGCCCTTGTTCACTATTTCATACACTAGTTCACTAATATAGTTCACCTGACAGAGTTAATGAACACTAATGAGTGAATTCAGACACTGATGAACACCTGCTGTTAATAATCACAATTACTGAAGAAAATAAACAAGAAATACAAACAGTGACTTGAGTTACAACATTAAATAAAATCAAATCAAATAAAACAGCTTCAGTCTCAGCAGAGGATCATTAAACAACTCCACAAACAACAGCAGACACACACTTATTACTGACTGATTTGACTTCCATACTATTCTCATTGAGATCCAACAGAAATTAAGGTGTTTTTTGTGTCACCGTAATGGAGTGAGGGGCTGATTTAGTTGGGCTCTTCACCCTTGAACTCATTTCAGAAGACTTTCCAACTGCTGTAATACAGAGTTTACAAAACGTTTGTACTATAGCAATAAAGTTGGGAAGTCAATATATAGAGAAATCTATTTGTCTGAAATTAGTTCTGATAAATGTTTTGGTATAAGTTTGGATAAAGGGCCTCAAGCAATAGATTTTATGCTTAGTTGCAGGTATTAATTTAATTAATGAGAAGTGGAAACAGAAAAGATACCTCTGTAATTACTTAACAGTTAAGAAATAACATACAAAAACAGTTCAGTTATGACAAATACACACTCAGACCTCATGAATTTGACCTTGTATCTCAACAATGGTAACATCTCAAATGTTTCATGCTGCAATGCATGCTGGAAGTGGCACTGTACAAATATCCCAGCATGCATTGCGGTATAAATAAATGTTGTATAATGGTCTAACAGTTTTCTTTATTTGTGTTTTATTCTGCTGTTGTTTATGTTTAGACTTTCAGTTGCCTGTTTGTGAGTTAAACTGATAAATTTGTTAGTTGTCACCATTATTGA